GCCTCATAAAATGAGTTTGGAAGTTTTCCTTCCATTTCTATTTTTTGGAACAGTTTCAGAAGAATAGGTATTAATTCTTCTTTAGATGTTTGGTAGAATTCCCCTGGGAAGCCATCTGGCCCTGGGCTTTTGTTTTTTGGGATGCAAGATACGTTTTTTGTTAGTCTAAGCCAGGGTTCAGGAAGTAGAGGGAAGAATAGTCCCTTATAATAGCCAGCAGGTTTCCTTCCAGTCCTGTGATTTTACTGTAATTCAAGGTTGGCCTTTTCACAACAGATCTCCAGCCCCACTTCCTGGTAGCTTATAGGTGGAAGGATCAAGGGGTCTTTGTGATGATTTTGTGATTTCTGGAAGCCCCAAAGGTATGCTCCTTGGGATAATCCAGACTTGCTGGCTTCCCTACAGGACTCCAGGATTGGTTCACATGTGAAAGGAGGAGGAAGATAATTGGTATTTTTTAATATACCCGGGATCTGTTTAAATCAGATGTAGTAAGACATACAGATATGAAATGATTGTCATGAGGGAAGTTTTAATTTTTTTTTTAAGATTTTATTTATTTATTTATTTGAGAGAGAGAGAGAAACAGCATGAGAGGGGATAGGGTCAGAGGGAGAAGCAGGCTCCCTGCTGAGCAGGGAGCCCGATGCGGGACTCGATCCCGGGTCTCCAGGATCATGACCTGAGCCGAAGGCAGTCGCTTAACCAACTGAGCCACCCAGGCGCCCCATGAGGGAAGTTTTTACACTCACAGACCCATCCCTAGAAACAGGAGGCATGGCATGTCATGCCACCCAGGGCCATGTGGGAAGTGCTGGTGTAGACCAGGAGGCAGAAAGCATGCACACGTCTTTATTGTGGTTTCTGTGGGAGGGAATGGGTGAGGCAAGGTGAGCAGGCTTAGGATTGGCTAGTTTGAATAATTTCAGTAGATTCTGGATCATAGGAGCTGTCCTTAGTTGTCTCATATGCGGTCCTGGGATGATTAGGGCAGAGGAATAATGCCTCCTAGAATATAAGAACAAAAGAGAGGAGGTGATTTGGAGTATGGGCTCTGGATTGGTTAGTCTGTATGAAAGCCATTTGCTATCTGTAATGGGAGAGGCAGTGTCTCTTCAGTCAGGGAGGCCCCAGATGGCAGAGGATCAAGAATACAGAAAAAAAAAGAAAATACAGTTAATATAATCAGTGATACAAAATTTAGCAGCCTTGAAAGCTAGCCCAGAACGTTTAGCAAAACCATTTAAATAGTCTTTGCTCCATTTATTCTGCAGAACCTGGTGCCAGTGCCCTGATTTTGGTCTTCATAGATACTAATTAATGCTATTATTCCACGAGGCCACAGAGTATATCCTTTTAGACCTTCAGGCCATTCTGAAATTACACGTCCTTAGGCAAAAACAGCATATGTGGCTAAATGAAATCCAAATTCTTATAAATACTGGATCAGAAACCTTTCCTCATTCCTCCCAATGATGAATTTTTAGCTCTGCTGTTAACTGGTCTTGGGCAAGTCACTAAGCCCGTCTACATCTTCTCCCCCCAACCCCTCCAGCAAAGTGAGGGGCTGCTCTGAAATTCTTCACATGTGGGGAGATCCACAGGTAGACTATCCACCAGGAAATGATGGTGAGGTCTTAAAACTTCATGGAATTCCCCTTGCATTTCTCCAGTAAGAGGCTTGTTGCTGTCAGCTGCCAGGCTGACAGGCCAGGCCAAGCCTCCTTTGGGAGATCAAGTGTTAAGTCCTACAGAATGCTAGAAGAAACTTGGCAAGTGTCTAAGTGTTGTGAATAATAGGCTCTGTGCCAGGTTATCTTATTTAAACTTCACATTCCTAAGAAGCAGATACTGTTATTATTCCTCATTTAACAGTTGAGAAAACAGGAGGTGAGATAGGTTAAGTTGCCCATGGTCTCACTGCTGAGAAAGTGGAACCCATATTTGTCTAACTTCAGAGTGTAAGAATTAGACTTATTTTATGTAATTACAGAGGTGAAGAGTAGATCAAAATGAGGGCAAAATGCAGGGAGACATATTCTGGCTCAATGTTATTTTGAACCATGATTGTCAGTCAAAACTGTAATGGGTTTTTCTCACTGGAAGGATTCAGGTCCAAGTTGGATTACCATTTTTTCAGGGATGTTATTAAGGGGAATCTCCAGTTGATTGAGAGATGGACTATACACCCTCTGAATATCCCTTTGAGCCCTAAAATTGCAATATATGTAATTCTACAGTTGTGTGATTCACACAAATCAGTTGGAGACCCCACCGCCAGAGGGCAGTGTCTTCACATTTGATCCATTTGTACAGGAGGAACCAAGTGGTTACAGGTGGTGTGACAGGGAGTCACCACCGGAATGTTAATATCCCTTCCTTTACCAGCTGAACAATGATTTCTGTCTGCCAGCGCATTCCAAAGAGGTGAGAGTGCTTAAAGTCAAAGGGAAGACACCATTTCCAGGTAGTGGGGTGGGGGCGGAGGTGCTGTTTGAGGGCTGTGCACTGGCAGGGAGCCCTCACAGTGCTGTCTCCTCCAGTCCTGCACTCTAAAGACTAGGACAGTGAGGGGAGGAACAAGGTCCAGGATGTTAAAGGTGACAGCGGAAACCCTTTCACACTTGTGAAGGTTGAAGGACCCAGGAATATTCAGCCTCGGAGAAGAGAAATCTTGGAGGGACATGAGCACAGTCTGCCATTGAGGTCGTTCTGCAGGGTATCAAAATGGTTAAAAAGTAGATGCCATCAGGGGGCAGGTCTCAACTTGACTTAAGGAAGAACTTAAATCTTGATTTAAGGAGAACTTGCCCGTGTCTGAACATCCTGGGAGATGCCGAGGTGGAGCATGTGGGGGCCTTGTGGGTCTTTAGCCTGGATGGATCCTATAACATCCATTCAGGGATTCTGTAGATTTCTCAGCTTTACGAAACCTGGTTAGTCTTCATATCTCTGGTCTACCCTTTCAAAATTTGCAGTGAACCTCACCAAGATGGCGTAGTTCTCATGGTTTCCAATAGAAATAAGCTGGGGCGCCTGGGTGGCTCAGTCGGTTAAGCGACTGCCTTCGGCTCAGGTCATGATCCCAGGTCCTGGGATC